TACAAATACTTCCGGTAAGGAAGTAGTAGTTAATAAAACTTCATATTCTTATTCACGATTGAAGTCTTGTTTACATTAAATATTTGGACCACAGGGAACTCTTGTTTCGATAGGTTACCGATGTTACGATAGGTTTTATTACTTTATTAAGCTTTATAAGGATATGTAAATGAACATTATTTCTATTCACATGTAGTCCATAACCTAAATCTATTGTCATGTGTGGTTGTCATGTCACTGCTGTCACTTGAGGTTCCGTTTGCCAAGTGCAACGTTGCCAAGTATATCCGTACATGAAAACCATACATAACACGTCCCCTTTAATAAAAATAAAATAAACAAAAATTAATTCACATAATATATCATAAGTACATAAATAACAATAATACACAAATATATCAATAGGTAAATCTATCAGGAGGGCGAATGACTCTACCACTTCTGGGGGTTTTCAAACCAGGTGAAGTACTTTATAATGTAGAAGGTACATTAATGCCATTGATGGGTGATGTTTTATTAGATGTTGAAGGTACATCAATATCTTTGATAGCGTTATTTGTTTTACAGTCTCTTGTATCATCAGGTATATCTGGACAAAGAACTGTTCTCACATTTCCCATACTTGTCCTTCCAGTAGTCACAATATCAGTTTTATGACTAGTTTTTACATAATATGCTTGCTCACAATTTGCATTTGCATGTTGCTGTGCTTCTGACCATACAGGTCTAAGATAGTGTCTATTACGTCTATAATCAGTATCATTTACTTTACTCATGTAATCCCTTGATTATTTCTTTGCCACAACCACTCCAGGGTTCCATTTCCTTTTCTTTTCTTGAAGTAAAATTTGTTGTCCTGATTTTTATTCTGGTAACCTATTTGTTCCTTTGTCATAATAGTGTCTTTGTGTTCTTTGATTTTCTCTCAATTGTGTAAAATATCTTTTATTAGAATGTCTGGGCTTTAGAAATTCCATACTGACTGGTAAGTTGGTTCTGAAATTTCTTCCAGTTATCAACACACAAGGAGCAGGTAAATTTTGTTTTGGAGTTGTATTATAATCTAATACAGCTAGAAATGGATCTTTTTTAGTTTGTACAGATTTTAAAAACAAGTTTTTTATTGTTTGTATTGTTCTTTCCATCATGCCATTGGTATGAGGATATTGTCTACTTAATGTTGTTACTTCAATATTATACATACTGACAAAATTTAAAAATTCATGAGAGCTGAAAGGAGGACCATTATCAGAAAATATTTCACAAGGCAGTCCATTAATAGCAAACATATTTTTTAATTGTGTTACAACACTGCTAGACGTTTTGTTCATTAGTTTATTAACAATTATAATCTTTGAAAAATAATCAACCACAACTAAAAAATCTTGTGAGTCTACTGTCATGAAATCAATACCAATTTTTTGCCAAGGTATTTCAGGTTCATCATGTAATTTTAATGGCTCCCTACTGTTGCTCTTATAGCTCATTTGATAAGTCAGACAGTTTAGAACAATGTTTTCTATATCCTTCATCAATCCCGGATAATAAATTGCTTCTTGAGCCTTCTTCTTACATGATACTACACCCTGATGAGACTGATGTATAACATCAAGAAATTTACCCTTCAATTCTCCAGGAACAATTTACCTTTTTTTATAAGACAATACATTCTTTAATAAATATATATCATGTCTATCAGACCAGAATTTTTTCACCTCAGAAGGTACAGAGCTTTTATGCTCAGGCCACCCATTTAAAAGATAATATTTAACTTTTTGTAAAGATGGGTCAGTATCAATTGCATTTTGCAGTCTTTTTTCATTTTCTTTTGATGTTGCTACAATAGAGTACACTTTTAAATTAGTTTCATCATCTACAAAATTAGTATTTATGGTTTTATTTATAGGATCTCTACTTAAATTGTCAGGAACTTTGAGATTTTTACCAGGAACATATTTGAGTGAAAATTTATATCTCATTTATTGCATTGCCAGTCTTTAGATCCTAGGTGATATTTCATCTTAAGGTTTTTAAAATAAATCTAAAAGAGATCTGTGGTCTGTCTCAATTTCAGAATCTATGCCATAAAGTTAGAATGAAAATATTTCACATCCATACACTATACCAAGAAGCTCCTTTTCAATGTGGTTATACCTGCTTTGGGTTGGAGTTAATGACACTGATGCAAATTCAATTAGAAACCCATCTTGCGAGACCATGGCCCTCAAACCATATGGGCTGGCATAAACAGAGAGTATGGTCTTTTTGTTAGGGTTAAACTAATGAAAAGTAGTGGGTGACCCTACAAGATTTTTAGTTTATCAAAACATGCCTGTTCAATATGTCCCAATGCCACTCATTTTTACTAGAAAGTAAACATCTTAGAGGACTAGTGTGTTGTGACAGGTTTGGTATAAATTTTGAAAAATATACTGTGGTTAAAAAAAAAATTGTAATTTATTTCGATTACTTGGTGGTGTCATTTTTGTAATAGCTTTACGTTTTATTTTGAAATGCCAATATTACTAATCTGATGACCTAAAAATTTCACTTTTGTTTGACAAAATTTAGATTTTCCTAAATTCAAAGTTAAGCCACTCTGTTTAATTTTTTCTAATTATCATTTCAAATTATCATGTTAATGTTTAGAACATCCAAAAACCAAAATATCATCAAAATACGTTATTGTTCCTGATATACTATCTAAAAGTTCAGACATATATTTTTGAAAAATTTCAGGCCATATGGTAATCTAAGATATCTATAACGACCAAAAGGTGTAGTAAAAGTACCTGAAAGTGAACTTTCATAATTCAAAGGCAACTGAAGAAAAGCAGATAATGCATCTAATAATGTGAAATAATTAGCTCCCGAAAGCTTAGCAAATAAAGTATATTAAGTAGGAATTGGAAACCTTTCTCTTTTTACATATTTATTTAGACAGAGGATCTATACATATTATAATATCAGATCCCTTATTTTTCGAAACAACTACACTACGATTTTGCCATTCTGTGGGTTCACTAACCGGTACAATAAGGTCTTTACGTACCATATCATCAAGTTTATCTATAACTTGGCTCCTTATAGCCAGTGGAATTTTTCGTGTCCCACTTATGAATGGCACTGCATTACTAGATAAAGTTATATTAAAATACCTGTTGATCTTTCCTACACCTGAAAAAATGCTCTTATAACTATTTATAATATGATTTGTTTCATTATCTATCACACTAACACTAGGCTGATCACAAACAATTTAAAAGTCTCTTGCTGCCTTTAGGCCTAATAGAGATTTTTGTTTATCATTATCTAAAATATAGAACATACAATACAAAATGACGGTATTAGATTTTGATTTGATACAGAGCAGCAACAAGCCGCATATACGTATTTCGATCTCTTTAGATCTCCTCAGTACGGTATAGTTACTACTCCATATCAAACCAAAATATTTTCCCGTCGTAGATTAAAGTTATTAAAAATAACTATTTACGGACGTAACTACACCATCTAAGAACAAAACGAGAAATCATACGATTTCTACCTGGCGAAATCGAATTCAAATATAAGCCGCCGTGCTCCCTAAAACTTGCTAAGCAAACAGCTTGATGGATGAATCGGCAAGGGAGTCTAAAAATTGCACTCCAGAGTTGCTGCTCTGTATCAAATCAATATCTAATACCGTCATTTTGTTTTGTTTATTTACTTCATTTGGAGTACCAGAAATCGAATTCCCTACGAATATAGGCCATGATGAACGGCATTTGGAGTGCAATTTTTAGACTCCCTTGCCGATTCATTTATCAAGCTGTTTGCTGCGCAAGTTTTAGGGAGCACGGCGGCTTATCTTTGAATTCGATTTCGCCAGGTAGAAATCGTATAATTTCTCTTTTTGTTCTTAGATGGCGTAGTTACGGCCGTAAATAATTATTTTTAATAACTATAATCTACGACGGGAAAATATTTTGGTTTGATATGGAGTAGTAACTATACCGTACTGAGGAGATCTAAAGAGATCGAAATACGTATATGCGGCTTGTTGCTGCTCTGTATCAAATCAAAATCTAATACCGTCATTTTGTTTTGTTTATTTACTTCATTTGGAGTACCAGAAATCGAATTCACTACGAATATAGGCCATGATGAACGACATTTGGAGTGCAATTTTTAGACTCCCTTGCCGATTCATTCATCAAGCTGTTTGCTTCGCAAGTTTTAGGGAGCACGGCGGCTTATATTTGAATTCGATTTCGCCAGGTAGAAATCGTATGATTTCTCTTTTTAGAACATACAATCTTTAAATATGTTTTTAAAAGAGCAAGGTATATACATTTTACCAACAACATTAATAACATGTCCAGTATAGCTAAATAATGAACTATTAGTATTTTCAAGCATATTATAATCAACATTTAAATTTTTAAAATCACTACTGTTTAATATATTGACTTCACTTCCAGTATCAACTTTTAAAATACTCTCTTTACCATTAATAATGATTTTTTTGAACCATTCTGAAGAGTTGCGATTAATTTCAGTAAAAGTCCACACTAGCACCTGTTCATTAGTTAAATCAGTGTCAGAATTGCTACATCTACTATCGTTATCATTGATTTCATGGACTCTGTTGTTATTATCAGGACAAAATTTACGGTAGTGTCCTTTTTTGTTACACAAAGAACAATATCTGAAAAATGCAGGACACTTACCCCTAATATGCTGAAGTCCACATTTATAACACTGAATATAATGGGTACCTGTATTTTTGTCAGTAACTTTGTGACTGCTCCTTCTCATACTTTGAACCAAACCTTGACTGTCCTATATAGATCTAGGTCTGTTTTCTTCATCTCGTTTCTTCACAACACGAACACTTTCACTTTCTTTGGATATTTCACGTTGAGTAACAGCACAATTTTCCATAACCCTACAGATGTCTTATAGCTTGTGCTAGTTTTAAATCAGCATATTGTAATAATTTTTCTTGAATTCGTAGATTATGTGTCCAAAACAATCCTGTTCAAAATTAAAGTATCCTTTTCTTTAAACTCACATGTTGATGTTAATTGTTTTAAGGGAGTTACAAATTGATCGATACTTTCATTTTGTAATTGATCTCTTTTAAAGAATTTAAAATGTTCATAAATCAAATTCTTAAGAGGGCTGCAGTATGTATCTAACTTACACAAAACAATGTTGTACTTCTGCTCATCTCGAACATTTTCATACTCGACGGTATTGAATATCTTTAGCCCTTCATCTCCTAGCTGATTTAGGAGAATAGCGATTTTTATGTGGTCTGGTTTTTCACTTTTGTCGGAGGTTGTTAAAAGTAACTGGAACTTTTGCTTCCAAAATTTCCACTCGTGTACAATATTATTTCCTTGGAAACTAAACGGTTTTAAGACTTTACAAGTATCTGTCATCTTGATTCGAGCGCAGTATAGCTCCTTTACATACATATATTTTTTATAGGTTTTTTCACATGCACCGGCTTTTAACACAACTTAACCTATCGTCACTTTTCCGCTGCCACCATGTAATGTATACCTCTTTAGGGCTGTTGGACATAACATAAATCTACTTACGATAGGTTTTATTTATTTATTAAGCTTTATAAGGATATATAAATTAACATTATTTCAGTTCACATCTAGTCCATAACCTAAGTCTATTGTCATGTCTGGTTGTCATGTCACTGCTGTCACTTGTGGTTCCGTTTGCCAAGTGCAACGTTGCCAAGTATATCCGTACATGAAAACTATATATAATATTTACGAAATCCACTTTGTTAGATAAAAGAGATCTTTGGTCAGTATCCAAATAAGACGTTGGTTAATTAATTTTTCGAGCACATTGCTCATTGCATATCCTAAGGATACTGAATGGTAGAAGTTTGGGCACAGAGTAATAAACAATCAGAATGCCTACTCTCAGATGCCGCCTTTAAAGTTTTGTCAGCACGCGAACGCCATGTTTTAGACGGAAGCATAGACACTCGAATTGAGAAATTTTTGACAAGCTACGACAGAACTGTAATTTAAATTTGAAATTTGAAATAATTTAATCTATTCTTTAACTAAAAGTACGAAAAAGATAGTGCAAATTATTTCTGTAGTTGCCGTAAATAAATTAAACCGGGTTAATTTGTCTATGCACACCAGATAATATATCACTGAACAGCACTGGTTCCATTTAAAACATGGTTGATTCCGTCTGCGCAAACGAGATGCGCGTACTTTTTATAAGCAGAGTGGGCATTCTGATTGTTTATTATTCTATGGTTTGGGTCTGAACGTGTTTATCAGGTTTAAGGATAGGTATTGTGTAAACATTATTCCAAGTATGTGGAAATACTCTTTCAAGTCATATTTTGTTATATATCTTTAGTTAATGGCAAATCCATTTTTAAGGAAGATAATAGGAATATCATCTGGACCAGGACTAGAGTTTTTAATAGAATTTATAGATTCAGTTAACTCTTCCTCTAGTATTGGTGCATTTATTGGTAGGTTATAGTAGGTTATAGTAGGATGAAGCTAATATATTGGCTATTTCAGATTTAGATGTATGAATTTTGTTGCTATATTCTAAAAATCTTATTAAAGAGTTTGTGTGGCGTCCCGAAATTTTGTTAATTTGTTTCCATACTATTGCTGCTGGGATAGAACTGTTTATTGTTGATAAAAATTTTTTCCACGATTCCTTTTTTGCTTCTTTTACCACATTTCTAATAATAGTCCATAACTTCTTATATTCTAGATGATTTTCTTGTGTTTTTTGTTTTTTGTATTTATTGAATGCTCTATGAGTCTACTTTATAGCATCTTGAAATTTCTTAATATTTTATCTTTTCCAATGATATGATCTGCTGCGGAAAGTATGAAGGTGGAAAATTTATTTATTAAGTCGTTTATAGTGTCATGCGGGGATGGATCTGAAAAAAAATTCAATTAATTTTTCACAAATTGCGTAAACGGTGACCAATCCTCTATTTCTGTATTCCATCTAGTGTATGGTTGAATGTTTTATTTGTTTTCGAAATGTATCACTATGGGAAAATGATTGCTTCCATACAATTGTGTATTAGCTTCCCACGTTATGTTTTGTACTAAAGGAGAGTCTATAAGAGATAAGTCAAAACAACTAGTATTTCCTGTAAAAAAATTAAATCTTGTTGGAGATCCATCGTTAAGTAGGGTAATATTGGTGTTATTAATGACCGTTTCTATTATGTGTCCTATTTTGTTATATCTATTAGATCCCCAAAGTGGATTGTGTCCATTTAGATCTCCTACTATAATCTTAGGCGATGAAATTTGTTTTATAATATAAGTTATTTCTTGTATACTTATTCGGTGGAAAATAAATGCAACAAATGTTTTTATAGTTAGTGCTACCACTTCAAGGTTGCTCTTTAAAGGTATTTGTCTAGATTCCAATGAGTTATTAACCTAAATAGAGACCCCTCCCCTGGATTTTTTAAAATCACGTCTGTTTTTATGATAACCTTGGAGACATATTATTAAAGGTGCGTTTTCAAAAAAATGTATCGTTTCTTGGTAATTAAGAACACTTTTGTTTGTGTCGTCTTTAAAAAATACTTTTGTTGGCTGCATCAATTTCTGTGTATCAATAGAATATATTGTTGGGATAGTTTTCTTCTTTTTTAAATGTGTATCCTTAGTAGGCATTATAAAGCATTCAGAAGTTTCAGGTGGTGCAACTGTGTAGGAGAAAGTTCTTTTGCTCTGTGTTTGCAGTGTTGGTTCTGCGCTAATTGGTGAAGAGTGATCAATGATTATATATTCAATAGTTTCTAATCCTATTTCATTACTGTTTATACCTTTATTTTTAAGCGGGTTATTGTTTTTTGGTCTTGGTTTATTTACATCTACATCTTTATTTTTGTATTGGTTAGATTGAGTGTCTTGTACCAAATAATTTGGTTCTGAATAGATTTGTACTGAGTGTTGTGTTACGTCGGTTATAATGTCTGCTGTGGACACTGTGTTATTTATTATTGCACTGGAGTAATTGTTTTTTGAGGATAGTTTGAAGCGATATGATCAATCTTTTTACAAATATAACAGAAGTGTTGGTGTACGGACATGAAAATTCTATAATTTCTATTGTCATGACAAATTACCAAGGATTCAGGAAGTATTAGGTCCACCAAAGGGGAAATATATACCTGTCGGCGAAAACTTTCCGGGTATATGTTGAAATTCGGGAGGAGATGTGCCAATTATAATGAATGATGAGTTTAAAGCCTAGTTTCTGTGGTTCTGATTATAGAATACTACTTATGTGCAATTGTTGAACATACATTGGGTAATACTAGTCGTTCACTAGGAGTAATTAATCTTTTTCCTTGTATTATTGAACTGTTTACTATGATTTTTCCTTGATTAACATTTATAAATGTGTCAACTAATTCTGCCATAGATAAATAAATACAAATCCATCAATTAAATACAAATCCTGTAGTGAGCTATACGAGAAGAGAACAATATATCGTTTGAAGAAATAACTGATCCTATTCATACAAGCTAATCTTGTAATTTTACATTTTCTGATGAACTAAATACAATAGTGTGCTTTCTGGATGGAAAACTAAGACTAATGGTTACTGATGAGTACGATTTTTTAAGTGTTGGTGGTGAAATACATCTCATTTTCTGAGCTAATTTGGAATTAATATCTTCCATTTAAATAAACTTTGAAACTAGTCATTAGATCTGAATGCGGTCCTGTATCCAATCTATAACAAGGCAATTAAGCCGGCGCAAAAACAAAAAAGATAAGAAATTCTTGTTTGTATTTTTGAAATATTCGATGGTTCTTTTTATGTTGTCAAATATATATTTTTGTTTATTACTAAGAATTGATGTAATATAAGCTGACTTACAGAGTCTCTGATGTTACCCCCACTCAGGAACTTCACCAACTTAAATAGGCGTACTGATCGTTTTTTACTTCCAACTCGTTGAAATGTGTCTATATTTTGACGTATTTTTAAGAAAATTTTTCATAACATTAATATAGTTTGTATCTGAAACAGTATAATATTTTAGGTAGTTAAAAGAGAAAAGGTATTTTAAAACACCAACACTAGTATTAGTAACAGATACCTATAGGCACTTAACTACTGATCTTACGATCTGGTCCTACTTCGCGAGCTGGGATTAATGTTTTTTTTATGGTTAATATGTTCAATACCTTTAGCTTTCTACATTTTTATTACAATTTCTCTTTTCTCTTTTCTTTTAATATTCTCGTTTTTTATTTAATCCGAAGTCACTTATCTGATCATTTATTTTGATCAAAAACGTATAAACGTATAAAGATATAAACTTATACTAAATTTTGGGGTTAGGTTATATTAGTTGCCAACTTGACATCGATTATAGATACATTATTTACAAAAAGTCATCATCATCATTATTGGTACTACGGACCTGTAAAAGAGCCTCGACCTTCCCAAGTCTATTACGCCAGTCAGTTTGCTGCTGCTATTTTTCTATCCTCATCTATCCTCATCTACACCATCCCTCTATCTGAGTTTTGACCTACCTCTACTTCTACTTTCCACAGGTTGTGATATAAGGATTCTTTTAAGAGGGTTGTTTTTTCTTTTGTTTGCTTGTTTGCTTGTTTGCTTGTTTGCTTGTTTGCTTATTTGCTTATTTGCTTGTTTGCTTGTTTGCTTGTTTGCTTGTTTGCTTGTCTGCTTGTTTGCTTGTTTGCTTTGTTTTCACAAAAAGTACATAACTCTTTAAATATATGTAGCTTTTGCTAAAAAGTATTGACAGATACGTAGTTTTTGTAAAATATCGATATTTTCGCCGTTTATATGTAACGGTCGATGTCGTTATTGTAAAATATCTTTTACACTATCCGATGTACACTAAAACAAAAGAGTTGCTTAGAGCATTAGCTAAAATTTACCAAAAATTTGGGCTATGTTGTTTTTGTAAATAAGTCTTTAATTATAGGATTTGGATCCATCTTCAAATATGGATTTTTCTGACACGACGTCGTCAACTAGTTTCAATGATATGAGATAAAGACCAATCGTGGGACATGTTATTTTTAAGGCTTGTGATTACGTTTCTTAGTCTCAATATTGAAGGAGGTTATACGTGGGTGTTTTTTTGCCCTTTAGGGTAATGCATCATTTTTCACTTCGGTACAAAGTAGTTCTTTAATGGATGCAGTACCTTCGTTAATTAAAAATTATGAACCAACCTGCCTTTACAATCGTGAAAAACCTGCGCTTTATTACCCAGCAAAAATCTAAGGTATTTTAAATGCGTAAAATCATGACCAGTATAATATATGTAAGTTCAATAAAAATGCTTGGATGACAACAATCGTGTAGAAGAACAAGAATAGCTTATGAACTTCGACAAGAAAATGGCAG